TATATATATATATATATATATATATATATATATATATATATCACTTTACATAATTATACAAAATAATAATAATTTAAAAAAAATCATAAGTCATATGATCTTATTACATAAACATATTTATTTACAGGAAAACAAGACAAAAAAAAAAGAGAGAATCTTTTCATATTCAGCACATATTGTTCCCAAAGCAGTTCAAATGTTGTGGTCAGGTAGAGCTCTGCATGTATTTCACCAATTCCTGTTGTTTAGTAATTGTAAATTAGTAGGTTGATTTACGTTACATCACATTCTGGTCTGTCTATTCTGGAGATTTGTAATTGCATTATTGGATTGGTGTGTGGTTTCTTTGGCAATGGATTTGGAGCTAAATGGCTATGTAATCATTGTTTTGTCACTGCTGATTTATAGTTGATGAAAATCTAATATCGACCTCAGCGCTGGTCCAACACTGGCCCTTGATCCGGAGCAGCTGTAAGTTCTGACCCAGATTCCAACAGCTTGTAGAAACCAGCTAATCAGCCAGTGAAAGAGGATAGAGAGAGACTGAGGAAGAGAGAGAGAAATGAAGAGATCAGGAAGAAAGATACAAGAGCGAGAGAGAGAAGAGGTGCATGAGGGACAGATGAGGTGCATTTATAAATACCCTTAAGGTCGTTTGGGATGACAGCATTGTCACAGGCCGAAAAGGACTGTTGCCAAGGGCAACCACTCATTCCCACAAACTTAAGTGGGGTCAAAACTGTCCTCTGGGAAATCCAGCACTGGAGAGCAGAGAAAACCATGAAGACTTTTAAAAATTAGCAAGACACTGCATGCATTATTCTCAGATGATTGGAGGAGGGCTGTATGTTTTTGTATTTGTGCTGTAAATGCCCAAGCAAGTGGTTATTATAAACCGATTTCCCTCAATAGTGGGTGAACCCGAGACCCCCGAGGTCAGAGGTCAAGACCCCCAGACAGGCCCACAAGAGTTTGCCTTTTAAAAGCGACCTAATCTCACTCGAAAACCCTAAGCTGGGGGCATTACATCACCCTTTTCCCATCATTATCAGGGGTGCAGAGAGACTGACTCTGTCTTTGTGTGCGCGGGGGTCAGTGGGTGAGAGATGGAGATGTTCAGGAACAGAAAGGGGATAAAGAGATAGGATAGAAAAGTGGAACACAGAGATTCTATTTAAGTGACGAGAAACTCGTCTGTGCAGTCTGTGACCCAGCGCAAGTCTCTCACCCAAAACACACACACCCACTCACACGCTCCATAGGAACAAAATGGCACTCTTGGTTTAGCCCAACAATGTCAGTGACACTCTAGTACTGGCTTATAGGTTTTATTGTTAGCGTACAATCCTCTTGGCATTGTGCTTAACAATGGCCTCAGTTAATGGGCAGTCTAACCTACTTGCATTGTCTCTAATTGGTCTCTCTGGAGCAGGAAGAGAGAAAGAGAAGGACCAGGTTGGAGAGGGGAAGGAGCCGGGCTGAACCACCTCTTTAGTGCAGAGTCAGGGAACAGGCTTGGACAAAGGATCTTTTGTGGCACCAGAGCCCAGAGTTCAGGAAATGCACCTGGTCCCCCTCTCCAGCTGATAAGAGCTCTCACTAGCCATTACCTCATCACACACACACACACACACATGCACACATGCACAGGCAGCAGCACTCATGTAGACAAGATTGACATGCACTAAAGATAATTTTTGCATGTATGTAAAATAAATTGAACTTTGTAAGTTTTCAAATGTGTTTTACAGGTTAAAATTCAGACCTATTTATGCATTCAGAAAAAAAGTAGGCAATATTTCATATTAAATATTCATGTTCAATCAAGCAAATGAAAATGTGATTATCATTTACTCTTTTTTTTTTTTAGAGCACAAAAGGAGAAGTTTAGAAGAATGTACAAGCTTCTACTTTCCATTAAATGAAAGTTAATGATGATGAGGGCTGTCAAACTGAATTTTTAGAGAAACTAAAAAAGCCTCTCTTTTTTGTCTTTTTTAGAGGTTTATAGCCCCTGGTTCCCATCAAGTGAGCTTTCTTTCACTGCCATTCAAAGGATTGTGGTCTGTATGTTTTTTTGTTTGTTTTTTGTATACTTACAATGTCTGCATTTTTAACCCAAAATTCAGTAAAAACATATATATTTTAAAATATTATTATAATTACTGTTTTCTTTTAAAATATATTTTAATATGTAATTCATTCATTATGTCAAAAGCTGAATTTTCAGCATCATTACTTCAGTCTTAAGTGTTTTCCTTCAGAAATCATTCTAATATGCTGATTTGGTGATATTATTATCAATGTTATATATAATATATACTTATCAATGTTAATTAATATTTTTGTGGAAACATTGATACATTTTTACGTTCTTTGATGAATAGAAAGTTGTTTAATTGAAATCTTATCAAATGTAAAAGTGTTTACTGTCAATTTAATGCATCCTTGCTGAATAAAAGTATTAATAAAAAATAAAAAAAGAACAATAGTGTGTATACACACGCGCACACAGGCACATTTGGAACTGTGAAACATTTAGCAAATAATAATGACCCACAGTTGATAATAAAATTATTCATTTTCCAAAGAACTCCGAAAGCAAAGGTGTTAAAAAGCTATATAGTCAATCCCGGACTTACCTTCCTCATATTGTTCTTATATACGTCCATTATACGGCCACATGATTTCAAAATAAAAGTCATACATATTTTCCTAAATTCATAATCAAAACCACAATAAATCAAAACAGTATGTTTCACAATTTATAAACCAATAATTAATTAAATTTGCTTAACTAAAAAATACATTTAAACTTAAATAGCTGCAACATTACGCCTTACACGATTTACTCCCTCTCTTCTTCTGGCTTTTTCTATGTCTTCCTCTAATTAGATGTTCCTGGCACGCTCTCGCTCTCTCTCTCTTCCTGTCCATCGTTTTATGGCCATGCCAGATATCCTCTTTTACACTGGCCTACTTTTCTATCTCACGGCAAGGAGCTCTCCTATGGATGGAGTTGGCGCTGAAAGAGGAAATAGTTCCAGACCAACAAGTGATCTAAATCTCCAGAGGGGCTTTTATGAACAAGAAACTGTGAGGAATTGTGCTGGTGGCATCAATGGTTTTCAGATCTGTACAAAGCGTCTACTTAACAGCGATCAGATATTCACACACACACACACACACACACACACACACACTCTTCCCTTTTAGCATCTGAAGCTACAGAAATGAGGAGAGGGAAGGCTCTCTGGTATTTGGACTGTTTTGTAATCATCAGTCACACATGGTTTGTCAAAATAAAAGCCATACTGAACCGCAGTGTAAAACTATGCTTTCTAATGTTTAGAAACCCAGATAGACATTCAAAGATATCCAGAAAAATGTTAAAAGGAGGCCAAAAAAGATGTATCAAATTTGTTTGCATTTAAGGCATTACATCACAGATAATCAGTCTTGCTTAATGCATCAGTGTTTGCAAAGTTGTACAACATCCACAGTCCCGGCTGGTATGCATGTGTTGCAGTTCTACCAGATCATAACTTCTGAGTTTGGCATTGCTGGGATACATGGTAAGGAAAGGCATCTAGTGGAGAATAATATAGAAAACATGATATGGTCTGTATGGTTTGTGCATGAATTTGAGTATGTTAAGAGCATGAGCGGGGGCTAAAATCAGCTAAACTGAGATTTGGTCTATGAATACACTCCAGGGTACTTACTTTTTCTGGCTTTTTATAGCTCAGATTGAGACTTAAATAACTGGTGAGTTGGACTTTGTGAGGTTTCTCCATATGCAGCAGGGCGGAGAGATGAAGGCTGATAAAAAACGAGACATACAAACACGGGTCAAGTCAACAACTACAACAACAACTGTATATTATAAATATAGCTGAGATAGTAGAAGTTAAAAAGCCAAAGACAGAGAGTAGGGGGAGAAAGAGAGAAAGCAGTGCATTGGCACTTTTAAATAGACTTCATGGAACATCAAATCCCTTCCACCAAAATCAGCTGATGCCTCATCAGTTGCCAAGGGGGTGAGGAAAAGACATGTGGGCATGAGGGGCAGGGGTGGAGGCCAAAGATAAGCATCAATGACAGATCAGAATCTTCACACATTAACCTTGCAAGAGAAAGAGAGTGATCTGCTATATTTATGGTTTTTTATTTTATTGAAACATTATGTCTTAATTTTTTTTATCTTTAGTATCTTTAAATTACTTTTTAATGAATTTAATTGACTACAATTTTTTTAATATATACATATATTGCTATTTACACTGCTGTTACTTTATTTTACATTTTTTTGACCCACCGAAGTATTGGATTTCATTGAAGCTTGTATGTCATGGTTTTTAAATGTATTTGTAATTACACATTTGTAATGACAAAGTTGCAATTTAGTAATATACTTTATTATTTTAGCCATAGTTTTTATATTATATTTACTCACAGTACTTACATGTGCTTTAGTATGTTAATCAACACATCAAATTAAGTGTATTTCTTCAATGCACAAGATATTAAAACAATTATTAAAAATACACTTTTTAAAACAAAACTTTTAATTTGTCATTATTACAAAGTTCACTTAAGTGGCCTTTTTTCGTTTATTAAATTAGCTGGAAGTACTTTTAAATATATTTATAAGATTTGAAGTACACTACAAGTACATATTCAATACAGTTAATCATACTCCTTTTTTACAAAGGAAAATAAGGTGCGAAATAGAGCAACATGTATCTGATCAAATCCCTAACACACTAACACAAACTCTCTGTTCTGCTCTGGGTGTCACAGTTTCCCAGAATTCATTGTGTTTATGAGGGAAGCAGGCCCTGAAGCAGTATTTCTCAGAACCCCTGCCTCTAAAGCTGTGTGTGTGTGTGTGTGTGTGTGTATAACTGGCACAGTATTTAGATTCCTGAAATGTTCTAAATGCTCGTCGCCTCACTTCCTTTCTACTCATCCTCATGTCGTTCCAAACCCGTAAGACCTCTGTTCATCTTCGGAACACAAATTAAGATATTTTTTGATGGAATCTGAGAGCTCTCTGACCCTCCATAGACAGCAACGCAACTGAAATGTTCCCAGACAGAAACGTAGCAAGGACATCGGTAAAACAGTACATGTGACATTAGTGGCTCAACTTAAATTTTGCGAAAATACGAGAATACTTTTTGTGCACAAAGAAAACAAAAATGACGACTTTATTCAACAATTCTTCTCCCCCGAGTTACTGTCTTCCGCCATTTTGGAGAATATCACAACACATACGCACGCTTTACTCTAAGTGTAAACAACGCTGATTATGCCGATTACGTTCATGCGCACGCTTTCCCCTTCTAACGTAAACAATGGGTGTAATAAGACTGTCACCATTCTAAACACAGCCATTTATTTCTTGTGCCCCCATGCAGTGTTTCTGTGAATGCAATGAGGCTTCCACACATCCAACAATAAATCTCCGCTGTCCGGGCTCAACTTACCATCAGGATGTGCTTCTGCGTCTCTCTCTGTCTCCTCTCTTCTTGTTTTCTGCACGCCATCATTATAGCCTCTCCTACATATAACCTCACTCTCTTTCTTCAGGCCACTTTTAAATACTTTGAAGCACAGTGGTGGGGGTGTTTTGGTTTTGGGGGTGTTATGCAGCATCAGGACCCTGCAAATATATCATTATTACCTCAGTTCTACATTTATTATAACCATAAGTGAACCATTCAATACGTATCATATAATAAAAAATGCAAGAGAATTCACAAACCAATGGCTCAGAAGAAAGAAATGGAAGGGTTTTGGGATTATTAAAGGAACTGAGCATGGAGAAATATTTAGCCATATATATATATAATAACAATTTCTAATTTAGTAATGTAATGAGGATTCAGTGACGTTGGGATCCATGTGCAGCTTTATTAACAATAGACATCCCTTACACTTCGTGGGTGATCCATCGAACTTCTCGGGGAATGCCAAGCGAGGGCTGGTGGTGACGGCAGCCGTCACCGGAGCGTGTGGAGGCGGGTTAGACGGTGGAGATCTCTCCTCGGGTGGTGGTAACCGGAGTGCTCGCAGAGTTGTCACCAGCTCCTCCGTGAGTGAGGTAATAATAACCACTGTACACATGAAACTGAACATTTGTAGGGCAAAATATTTGAAAATATTTGTACTACAAACAATGTGAAGCTGCACAAACTAAGTCCATCAGGATAAAATAGCAGTAATGCAATAATAAATATATTATTAAATGTTTTCAAACATTAAATAAAGGATTACATGCAATCAAATAATAAAACGAATAATAAAATGCAATACAGAAATTGTTATTAATTCATTTAACAAAGGAGATATTTTAATTAAGAAGTAGTGTACAAAATGTTATAACTATACACTTGTACTTATATATTTTCGATTAAATTCAGTTTATGTTTATTTTGTATAGTTTATTCTGTTATTAAAAGAGACGAGTGTGTCAAAGCAATGTCAGTAATACACCGCTTATAAAATATTGCAAGTTATGTGGTCAGTAAATATCATGTATTCAGTTAAGCAGACATGATGAACATGTAAGGCAATGATTATAGCTTGTGATCATAATGATTACAACATCTGGCATATTTAAATAGAAAAGTTGCAATCAGATGCATTACTTGTGTTCCTGAAAGCTGCATTAGGTCAAAATATGAGTTTTTTTAGTATTATAATATACCGAAACCTCATGAATCATAAATCACGCTGAAGAGCGCCTGGGGACAGTGACGGTAAAGTGAGATGCTATAAAGGTTCATCCCATGACACTCAGTCGGTCTGTGTGACATTTTGCTGTTTTAAACAGCCATCTGCAGAATGTGGCGGCTCCACTGTCTGGTAGCCAGATATCCAGAGTTTATTGGAGTCAGCATTTACAAAAGTCAAGGTTAGGCTTATGTATGTGTGTGTGACGGCACGAGAACGAGGTCAGAGGGAGAATGTGTCTAGAGTTCAAAGGTCAAGGGTGAGTAATAAACCTTTCATTACCCAGTTCAGTAAATGATGTACAAACACAAACTCATGACCTCGCACAACCATACAGAACTCTCACACAACAATAGATGAGGTTTCCTCAGGTGCTAAAGATATGTGTGTTTGTACATAAGCAAATCCTCTTATGAAGTAGGTGATGGAAATCCTCATTTGAGCGTTTAATCTCTGGTCTGACGTCTGTGCGGTTTATTGGTGCTTCTGTGTCGTGACTTTAACGCCAGCCTCGAATAGTTTACAGGGACCGAATGCCTTCCACAAATGGGTTGTGAAACGTATAGGTTATGTATACGTGTTTGGTGTGTATTCATGCATTTGCATAACAGGCAAGTTCTTTACACGTGCATTAGCTCTCAATGAAGAGCCGGATGGGTTTGCAACCAGCAGAGTGAAGTTGCATCAGCGTTGTGGACAGATCGAGCATGAGGGCCACTCGCTGCCCGCTCATGAGAGGTATGACACATTCAAAAATAGCACACACTCACCCCGACACACTTTTCCTGTGACACTTTCTAGCTGTTACACAAGTATTACCCTAGCATAAACACTTTGGGCAAATTCCTTGTTAGCATCACTGTGACCTATTCACTTGGAAGGGCAGTACTCTGAAAGGTGCTATTCTCACTGGCTGTTTGGAACAGCATAGTGAAATCAGTGTTGTTTTCATAATGTAACAGCAAAAGTTTTCATATTTATTTAACTGTGAACTGTCTCTCAAAACCTAAAAGCTATCAAAAAAAACATGTAAATTACATTCTGCAGATGCTTTATCCAAAGCAGCTTTGCATTACATTAAACATTATAAAAAAAATTGTCCAATTCACACATTCCTTGGGATACTCAGGAATGTGTTCATACATAAGGGATACTTCTCATTAGCTATTTCATGAATTTTGGGATATCGCATAAAAATACGTTGGATGGAAATGCTAAGATGTGCATAAATTCTAAAAATGTGCTTAAAAAAGGTATGCGCTCAATTGAGTCGAATAAATTTGTATCCAATAAGAATCGCATAATCTACGATGGAAACACATTTACCAAAAAAAATTCCTCATTGTGGTTTCAAAAAAGTCATGTGACTTTGCCTCAACAGATCATGTGATTGGATAAATGAACTAACTAACTATATGGTATTCCCCTCCCATAACTGTCTCTACTAACTGCATTCCCAAACATCAGGCATCTGAATGCAAGATAACATGACAGTGTACGTTATTGCGCTTCAACTGGCGCAAGTCATTTATTATGTAAAAACAAAAAGGAGCGATGGCAAATTTGCAATCTTTCTCTCTTCTGACCAACATAATCAATTTCTCTCTCCGTTCACCACTATAGAAGTTTACCCAACTATGAAGACTTCCACTTCTGAGAACCACATAAATGTGAAAGGACCCTTCATAATCAATTATAGGAATTATACACAAAGATATTATGAAAAAACTGCTTAACTACATCTTACTGCTGAAACCGATGCCATTTTAAGTGTTTCCACATGACATTGCAGCAGTCAGGTGGTACAAGTCAGAGCTCTCCGAAAATTAGTTTACAAGTTGTAATTATGAGTTCTAGAACATGAATTAGATTTTTTTTACAGAATCACATAATTATGGTAATTCTGACACAGCATGAATGCACCTTAACTCCTTTTCAGTTTTTACTTGCTATTGCTAATTGGAGTTATAATGTTTGATTTTGCAGAATTTTTGTCAATATCAGTGTGAATAAGAAGACTGATCAAGATTTTTGGCTCATTTTCCAGAAGATAGTCTTTTAAATGTTTACTCTGTATCTGTGCGCATTTATCTTGTCTAATGTTAGTAGTAAACTGACATAGAGATCAGTGCTAACACACAGATTAAAATCAGCAGAATTCAAATTTCAATTTAATAGAGTGTTTAAGATTTAATTTGCTTCCTTGACAGTGATATGTTAAATCAAACAAGTTTCCCAAAACACTCACACCATCTTCAATTGCTCAACAAACAGATAGTTCCGCCTCCAAATTTACACCATTGGTTAGAACAATCAGCCTACAAATAGTTATCTTACAGCTGTCTCAGCATATTATACTGAGACAAAATATTACTTTAATATCACTTTAAAAATGATAACATACTGTTTGAAGGTCTGTCAAATTGAAAATCCATCTATAAATAATGTTTCACAAATTATTTTATATTAATTGTGTTTATATACAGTATAGGTTAAAAAAAAGTTGTCGGCTCAGACAACTGCAAAAAAAGTTCCCATTTATTGCTATTCTTATTTAATTTTAGAATCATAATAATAATAATAATAATGTAAATTATTAAAGGTCTCATAAAGTCTTAATATGTCATTCTGAAAAAGGAATGGAAAACTTCATATAACAGAGTGAAAGGCTGTGTGTGTGTGTGTGTGTGTGTGTGTGTGTGTATGTGTGTGTGTATGTGTGTGTGTGTGTGTGTGTGTGTGTGTATGTGTGTGTGTATGTGTGTGTGTGTGTGTGTGTGTGTGTGTATCCTGTAGCATCACGACTATGGGGGAGGAGGGTTTCGATTACTTTCGCCACAGTGGGCTGACTGACAGATTGCATCCGTTTTATTCAAGTCCCTCTGATTGGTCGATTCGATCTCCTGATACCCGTGGACCGCAGGACCTATGTCACACCATATGACGTGTGAAAATCGCACACGCAATTACAAGCACATACACATCACATACACATACTAATATAATCAATATGAGCATGAATTATACCTAGAAAAATCAATGCCGGCAGCATCTGGGCAGCTAACTAAATATTCGTTATTTAAATGAATTTTTAAGTGAGTTTTATTAGTTGAATCTGAATCCTTAAAAAATTGACTAGAACATAATTAAACTGATTTGAATCTCATCAAACAGAACATCCCATCAAAAAGTGGCTTTCTGAAACTCACCATGTTGCTTTTCTTTCAGTAGCGTTGCTCTTTGCAGTCTCTTTCAAGTAACCCTAATATGATGGTGGAAATGTTATTTGTCCAAATTCTCTGCTTTTTATGGCACTGGCAATATGTGTGTTTGTGTGTCTGTGCCGGCAATCCCATTTGAATTTGTGCTGGCCAGTGCACTGGCATTTGTGTGTGCGTTTGCCCTAAAGTCGTTGTGGTTGGACGCCATCCTTTTAACTTAATGAGAGTATGTTCTGTATGTCTCTCTGGGGCACAAATACACGTTGTACAGACAGAGCAGCATATCATTACAAATCGCTTCAGAAAAGCCCAAACCAAACCCAGACGTGCACACCCACGCTCGCTTAACTCTACACACACCACAGGCTCGGTCTCTTCCACTCGTACGCAGATACTTGCCCTCAGATACACACCCTGCCATTTTTAATAGACACACGGACGCACATACATGCTATTAACTCAATGGCTTACATATGCACTTCTTAGATACTGACTTTTTGCAGGGATGTTGATCTTGAGCTGTGTTGCTGAACTATAGCTGTGCAGTCCTGTGAAACTCTTCATTTAGCCCTAATGTAGTGGTTCTGCATGGGATTTCTCACCTTTGCTTTTCTCTTTTTATTTT